TTTTAAAACACTAATTTGAGCAACGTTATTTCGTAATTTCGATCTTTTGTAAACCTGGGGTGATGTATCAAGGTCTAAAGTAACCGTTTTATCAATTTTTGAAAAATCAAGAAAAAAGTGAAAATTTCCCTTCTCGCTACTTTAATTCTGTGCTAAAAAATCATTTATATACAAACATTGAAGCATTGTTATATACTTTTGCGTAGAATAAAGTCATTAGTTGCTGTATAGTTGACTTGAACTGTTATGAACCCCCAAGAATCAGAAATATCACAGGTTTTTCGGTCGATCACGTTAACATGAACAACGCCATTTTGACAAGATTTGTTTAGCGATGTCAGCATGTTGGCACGCGAAGTTATTTCCCTATTAAAACTAGAAAATGAACATAATTCCTGATATTAATCTTTACATTGTAGGAACTGGATGGTTATGAGTTGGTAAGCTGGTTTTGATGCGCATCGCCGTTAAAAAAATCCAAATTTCATAGTGATAATTTTGTTTACATGTTTGTTTATGTTGTGGTTGCCCGAATTTGAAGTCAAAGTGAAGTCATACAATGAGGTATCGCTTTGCATGACGGTAAATTTTCCGATTTTACTGAATATTTTGACGGTATTGTAATCTGTCTGACTTCCTGACTCCCTCGGCCCGGGTGTGAACGGGTTGTTTACCCGCACCGCGGTTCGAGACAAAAGAACGCTAGACGTTTCTAGACCGGGGATAGAGGGACTGTGGTAGAACGCTTGTTCACACCTTCGACGACACTCAGTCTATGAAGCGCCATCACAGGTCATCTTCTACTTTTGTGTCCTCAGTTTATTGCACCGTAAGGTAATAAGTTGTTACCTCCATGATTGCACTTACTCGATTTCGCAAGCTATTTGATTCGAAATAAATTTGTCATATATGCAATTTGTGACAAATGAAAACAAGGGAGTAGGGAGTATTTTAGGTTACAGTTTCAGAAAGGTCTGACCACCATTAAAAATATGGAGACAATCACTGCTTGCTCTCATCACAGTCACTCTACTAGGAGAGTGACTGTGCTCTCATACATTTTCCAAGGAAGCGAGTTTTGATTTTCTATCATATTTCATCAAGTTATGCTTTCATAATTCTTTGTTCTGATAGCAAAATCAATTCAGTGAACAACCGAGTTTTATATTGGTGACCAGGGCTGAAATGTAACTCTTTTTACCGACCCGAGCATGCCAAAACTGTTGCTTGTTCCAACAGTATGCAAATGAGCGGATGTGGCGGCGGCACGGGGCGCAGAGGGGCGGTCGTTTCTTCGAAAAACATTTTGGGGAGTTGCCCCTCCAAAATCAAGATGAAAATCTTTGTGTCAGCAAAACTTGCTCCTCAAAATGCAGGAATTGGCGTTTCAACGGGTCTATGTTTCAATTTTTGTAAGGGGGAGCATGCCCGGACTCCCTAGTAAGATCTGGCATTCGGCGCAAGGTTGAGCCACAGTTCCAACAGTATAGAGATAGAGGGTTGAGCAGACACCCCTCCCCTCCCATGCAAAATGTCGCGTCGCCGCCTTTGTCCGACCCGGACTTTTCGACAGTGTGGTTTTCTATGGGGGGGGGGGAAGTTGTGGCCGCGGTAACAATGAATACTCGACCCCCAGTCCTATCACAATACAACACAAATATTACCACTCATACCTCATCGTATGTATAATTTTTCCATTACACTTGGATTGAAATACAAATATCTGTACCACATTGTCATTAGTAAACGTCGACAGATACCGGTAGTAGATTCCATTCTGGGATGGGGTATATACCTATGACTTCTTGTTCATACTAAAGGGGTAATTTTACCCCATGTTCCTACTAAATATATGATCCAATCGAACTAGAGACAATAACCGTAAGAAATAACGAAATACATATATAACGCAAAAGTTAGCGTAGGAAACACTACGTTGTCCCGTGGTGTTGGCTACATATACACTAGCCTGACAAGGTCGCGTGAGTTGCGCCTTCCGCGGTACGTACCCTCAACCCAACACAGAGATCTGATGCCACTCGGTCGGTGAGGGCGCTACCACGTCTACATGTCAGGCGGACATGGTCAACACAATTCCCTCATCAAGAATCATTCTCTAATTTGATCATTTGACCACTCAGAAGCTAGAACAACGCAAGCTTTATGACTTAATTTATATTAAAGTTCGTACTCGTACATGCTGCCTCCTGTAAATCCATAATATTCACTCATTCATGATAATGGTTTCTAAACAACCGAATGTTTAAAATGCTTTCCCAAGTCAAAGTTTCTAATCGGTGTAACTGTCGAATCGCACTATAGATTGGGATTTGGATGTGTGGGCAATGGCTATAGTGATGAGAATGTTCAATGAACATGACATGTAAATTAAGACACACGATTTCAAATACTATCAACTTTGAGCAATAAGAGAGAGGGCGCGTAAACGTGAATGTCAGCCATTTTAAATCTGTCAAAAATCAAACCACTGTTTGGTTAAATAAAATTAACTGAAAACAAAAATATGTATCCTCATAAAGATCATACACTGATTTCCATCAAATCGAAAATCGTACCAAAAACAATGTTTGCAGTGTGTCAAAAACGTTCACTCTACATAATGGAGTTGAAAATAAGGAGTAGTCAGTGCTTAAAGCGGGAGGGTCGTCACCTGCGCACGCGCGAGAATTGAGTCCCAAGCGACGATAACAACACACGCTAAAAACGCAAAGGCTTATGGGTAGACGCTTGTTTGTCAACAATAACACGTTATGGCCATCTGACGCATGCGCAGGTTACGACTCCCCCGCTTTAATCTCAGAGAAAAAATAATGATTAATGTTAAGTGGTCCACTGATTTTAATACAACCCCCCTGAGAAATATGGCCACAATTTTACCTATTCTACACTATGTTAGGCGAAAAATCTGAAACAAATTCTACTCAGTTATAGTTTTGCAGATATTTGGTACAACCAGAGAGGTACATTACAACCAAGTTACATTACATTACAATCTGGGTTACGTCAGCAGATTTTCACGATATCTTTCGTTAGCACTGTTTTGACATCGACTTCCAGGACTGGTGTAATACCGTTAATTCATTTGATAGTACATACAACCTATTTAAACAAGATTTGCGATTAGGTCCGACTAAATTTCTAGCCTGTTTTCATTAAACGGATAAAACAGACATTTCTTCCTGCCAGATACACAACTCATCAAATCTCACAGTTCAAGCGCACCAATCTTATGTACACATGTATGCTAATTTTCCCAACCAAAAAAAGAACTGTGTATTTTGAATGGCAACAATTATTATCTATGTTTTTTATATGGCATTCTCATAACTGTTTTTTTTCCTTTCATTGACTACATTGCACCGGTGATCTACACTACTTCTGAATAAATTATATATTTAAATATTTGGGAGAGGGAATGGTGACTTTTCTGAAAATCATTTTGTTGAAAATTTTAAATGGATTGTCCCTTATATATTCTCTTGTACACTGGTAATGGATAGGTGGCGCTGTTAATTTTTCACTACTTCACAGTACTGAACAGCGCCACTTGTGGTGGTAATATGCCAAGCTTGATTTTTTAAACAACAAAATGGCGAATGACGAGAAGAGATACTTGCGTGTCAGTAGCGGCGTTCTTTCGCATCTCAATGACCAGCGAAAGAACAAGGTGTTATGTGACATGACCATTGTTGTCGATGGACATGATTTCAATGCACACAAGTGTGTGCTAGCTGCATCCAGTCCGTACTTCGAGTCACTTTTTCGCAGTAATATGAAGGAGTCTCAGACGGGTAAGGTCGAACTACAGTGCACCTCAGCTGAAGGCATGGAGGCCATATTAAGCTACATGTACACAGTCGACGTTACACTTACCATGGATATCATAGATGTTGTAGTTAGCGGCGCAGATCATTTATTATTGACAGAACTGAAGAAGGTGTGCGAGGTCTACATTATAGATCACTTAACTACTAGCAACTGTTTGTGGGCTCTAAACTTGGCAGACCTCTATAATCTTAGTCAATGGGTGCACGAGAAAGCAAGCCGTGTATTAATGAGACAATTTTCTAAGGTATTGCAAGACGAACAAAATGAAGCTCTCTTGATGGAACTTTCAGCACACAGGATCTATAATATATTATCAGATGGTAGACTGACCGACAGAAAAGAGGAAGATTTGTTTGAATTTCTTGTAAAATGGGTTCGCCATTCACAAAAAGAAAGAAAAGCCACTCTCTCTAAGCTGATGAGTAAGTTGCATCTTGAGACTGTCAACAAACAATATTTAGTCAGTCGCATAAAGAAAGAACCTCTGGTTCGGTGCAATCGTGATTGTCGAATGTACGTCAGGCAAGCCATGAAATATAATGTATTGTCAGACAGAACCATTTGTAGTGTACCATTAAAGGCTCATCCAGGCAGATTGGTTGATGTAGTAGTCGTTGCTTGTAGCTACTGCATATTTGGTTATGTACTTGACGAAAACCGATGGATACACTTAAGGGATTGGGATGAAAAGTGGCCATTGAGTTATAAGGCTGTAAAAAGAGGGAATCAGTTACTTTTTCTAACAAAGAGAACCAAACCTCTCATTGGGACAGACTATCTGTATGATCCCTTGACTGACACATGGTTGAAGTATTCTGGAACCCAACACGAGTATAATTCGTCATGGCTACAGAAGTCACCATTACAAATGGAGGGAGTACAATTACAGCACATGGTTGTCACAGCAAATGGGCAAATCTATGCCATATATTTTGATGATGAGAACTTTATTGTCTGGAATGTCATCAAAGAAGACAATGCCTGGTTATTTGTAGTTGCCGATGATGGTCATGTGTCGACAAAACAATTTGTGAACACCTGTGGCAATCCTTGTATTACAATAGAAACACCAGATGGGATTGAAGTAGAAATACCAGGTAATCGCAAAGTTGTCATCTCCAACGAGCCAAACCAAGGTGTGTTCACTAGAGACTCTTCATTGCCACAGATTCCAATTGCCAGAAGTAATGCTGGTATATGTAACATAAACGGTGATATATTTGTATGTGGTGGTATTTGTCACACAAAAAGTGAATCTGGTTTGATATTCCACGAGTTTGTCTCGTCAGTGTGCATTTTTGACTCTGCTAAACAGATTTGGAGAGACTTAACCAGAATGCCTGTCAACACCTGGGTTTTAGGGTGTGGCTTGTTTCAGCTGCCTTATGAATATACACAGTGAGACATTTCAAACTGGTTCAAACTGTAGAGAAACTGATGCATAATGGTTGCTAATTAGTTGACATGACAACGATTCCTTGAACACATAATACGTAGTCATGATAACATTTAATGCAATGCACATACAAGTCTATAAAATATTTTACTCAAGAGTTGAGTTAAATTTTCATTTCAAAGAATTGTGGTAAAAATTTCTTATTAAGCCAAAAAATAAAAAATATGTGTACAGTAGTTTTGATAACAATTTATTTTTGCCAAACGCAAACAAATTATGCAAAAATATCACAAAATGTCAAAGTGCCGTGATTGAAACTGCATTAATTATCAAAAATGTTGGCTGAATTGGGAAGTATTTTGTAAAAAGTAATGTTTTCTGAATTGGGAACTAAAATCTATAATCAAATCATACAGTTGTTTGTTGTAATACAATGAATACTCAGGTTTGTTGGCTTCAGGTATCTGTAGCACATTTACTAATCTTGTGTGCAAGTACTGCACTGAAAAATAACAAAAATGAAAGAAAAAAAATTGCATTAATTTATTTCAGTAGGTTTTGAATGTGATGTTCATTCAATATATAAAATCACATGCTTGTTTTTCTTTTCCATTCAAAATAAACATAATTAAAACAATCTCAATGCTGTGATCAACTGGAAATATGGTTTCTTCTCTACCTAGATATATGATGCAGTGTGAATTTACACACATTTTTGACTGAACGTGTGGTGGTATGTCCACTTACGTATGAGTGATTGGCCACAGTTTGGAATGTCCTCTTAGGAACAGGTGAGTGATTGGCCACAGTTTGGCATGTCCACTTAGGTATGGGTGAGTGATTGGCCACAGTTGGGTATGTCCACTAGGATTGAGTGAGTAATTTGCCCAGTTTGGAATGTCCACTTAGGTACGAGTGAGTGATTGGCCACATGATGGTATGTCCAATAGGTATGAGTGAGTGATTGGCCACAGTTTGGTATGTCCACCTTGGTATGAGTGAGTGATTGGTCACATGGATGTATGTCCACCTAGGTATGAGTGAATGATTGGCCACATGAATGTATGTCCACCTAGGTGTGAGTGAGTGATTGGCCACATGGATGTATGTCGACCTAGGTATGAGTGAGTGATTGGCCACATGGTAGTATGTCCACTTAGGTATGAGTAAGTGATTGGCCACATGGATGTATGTCCACCTAGGTATGAGTGAGTGATTGGCCACATGGTGGTATGTCCACCTAGGTATGAGTAGGTGATTGGCCACATGGATGTATGTCCACTTAGGTATGAGTAAGTGATTGGCCACATGGATGTATGTCCACCTAGGTATGAGTAAGTGATTGGCCACATGGATGTATGTCCACTTAGGTATGAGTAAGTGATTGGCCACATGGATGTAAGTCCACCTAGGTATGAGTAAGTGATTGGCCACATGGATGTATGTCCACTTAGGTGTGAGTAAGTGATTGGCCATATGGGTGTATGTCCACCTAGGTATGAGTAAGTGATTTGTCACATGGATATATGTCCACTTAGGTATGAGTAAGTGATTGACCACATGGATGTATGTCCACTTATGTGTGAGTAAGTGATTGGCCACATGGATGTATGTCCACCTAGGTATAAGTAAGTGATTGGCCACATGGATGTATGTCCACTTAGGTATGAGTAACTGATTGGCCACATGGATGTATGTCCACTTAAGTATGAGTAAGTGATTGGCCACATGGATGTATGTCCACTTAGGTATGAGTAAGTGATTGGCCACATGGATGTATGTCCACTTAAGTATGAGTAAGTGATTGGCCACATGGATGTATGTCCACCTAGGTATAAGTAAGTGATTGGTCACATGGATGTATGTCCACTCAGGTATGAGTAAGTGATTGTTCACATGGATGTATGTCCACTTAGGTATGAGTAAGTGATTGGCCACATGGATGTACGTCCACTTAGGTATGAGTAAGTAATTGTTCACATGGATGTATGTCCACTTAGGTATGAGTAAGTGATTGGCCACATGGATGTATGTCCACTTAGGTATGAGTAAGTGATTGGCCACGTGGATGTATGTCCACTTAGGTATGAGTAAGTGATTGGCCACATGGATGTATGTCCACTTAGTTATGAGTAAGTGATTGGCCACATGGATGAATGTCCACATAGGTATGAGTGAATGATTGGCCACAGTTTGGTATGTCCACCTAGGTACGAGTGAGTGGTTAGCAACAGTTTGATATGTCCACAAGGTATGAGTGAATGATTGGCCACAGTTTTGAATGTCCACTTGGTATGACTGAGTGTTTGGCAACAGTTTTGAATGTCCACCTAGGTATGAGTGAGTGATTGGCCACAGTTTGGTATGTCCACTTAGGTATGGGTGAGTGATTGGCCACAGTTTGGTATTTCCACTTAGGTATGGGTGAGTGATTGGCCTCAGATTGGTATGTCCACTAGGAATGAGTAAGTAATTTGCCCAGTTTGGAATGTCGACTTATGTACGAGTGAGTGATTGGCCACATGATGGTATGTCCAAAAGGTATGAGTAAGTGATTGGCCACAGTTTGGTATGTCCACTTAGGTATGAGTAAGTGATTGGCCACATGGTGGTATGTCCACTTAGGTATGAGTAAGTGATTGGCCACATGGATGTATGTCCACTTAGGTATGAGTAAGTGATTGGCCACATGGATGTATGTCCACTTAGTTTATGAGTAAGTGATTGGCCACATGGTGGTATGTCCACTTAGGTATGAGTAAGTGATTGGCAACAGTTTGGTATGTCCACCTAGGTACGAGTGAGTGGTTGGCAACAGTTTGGTATGACCACTGGGTATGAGTGAGTGATTGGCCATAGTTTCGAGTGTCCACTAAGTATGAGAGAGTGACTGGCAACATTTTGGTATGTCTACCTCGGTATGAGTGAATGATTGGCCACAGTTTTGAATGTCCACTTGGTATGACTGATTGTTTGGCAACAGTTTTGAATGTCCACCTAGGTATGAGTGAGTGATTGGCCACAGTTTGGTATGTCCACTTAGGTATGGGTGAGTGATTGGCCACAGTTTGGTATGTCCACTTAGGTATGGGTGAGTGATTGGCCTCAGATTGGTATGTCCACTAGGAATGAGTGAGTAATTTGCCCAGTTTGGAATGTCGACTTAGGTACGAGTGAGTGATTGGCCACATTATGGTATGTCCAAAAGGTATGAGTGAGTGATTGGCCTCAGATTGATATGTCCACTTAGGTATGGGTGAGTGATTGGCCACAGTTTGGTATGTCCACTTAGGTATGGGTGAGTGATTGGCCTCAGATTGGTATGTCCACCAGGAATGAGTGAGTAATTTGCCCAGTTTGGAATGTCGACTTAGGTACGAGTGAGTGATTGGCCACATGATGGTATGTCCAAAAGGTATGAGTGAGTGATTGGCCTCAGATTGGTATGTCCACTAGGAATGAATGAGTAATTTGCCCAGTTTGGAATGTCGACTTAGGTACGAGTGAGTGATTGGCCACATGGTGGTATGTCTACTAATGTATGAGTAAGTGATTGGCAACAGTTTGGTATGTCCACCTAGGTATGAGTGAGTGGTTGGCAACAGTTTGGTATGTCCACTTAGGTATGATTAAGTGATTGGCCACATGGATGTATGTCCACCTAGGTATTGGTAAGTGATTGACCACATGGATGTATGTCCACTTAGGTATGAGTAAGTGATTGGCCACATGGATGTATGTCCACTTAGGTATGAGTGAATGGTTGGCCACAGTTTGGTATATCCACCTAGGTACGAGTGAGTGGTTGGCAACAGTTTGGTATGACCACTAGGTATGAGTGAGTGATTGGCCATAGTTTCGAATGTCCACTAAGTATGAGAGAGTGACTGGCAACATTTTGGTATGTCTACCTCGGTATGAGTGAATGATTGGCCACAGTTTTGAATGTCCACTTGGTATGACTGATTGTTTGGCAACAGTTTTGAATGTCCACCTAGGTATGAGTGAGTGATTGGCCACAGTTTGGTATGTCCACTTAGGTATGGGTGAGTGATTGGCCTCAGATTGGTATGTCCACTAGGAATGAGTGAGTAATTTGCCCAGTTTGGAATGTCGACTTAGGTACGAGTGAGTGATTGGCCACATGATGGTATGTCCAAAAGGTATGAGTGAGTGATTGGCCTCGGATTGGTATGTCCACTAGGAATGAATGAGTAATTTGCCCAGTTTGGAATGTCGACTTAGGTACGAGTGAGTGATTGGCCACATGGTGGTATGTCTACTAATGTATGAGTAAGTGATTGGCAACAGTTTGGTATGTCCACCTAGGTATGAGTGAGTGGTTGGCAACAGTTTGGTATGTCCAATTAGGTATGATTAAGTGATTGGCCACATGGATGTATGTCCACCTAGTTATTGGTAAGTGATTGACCACATGATGTATGTCCACTTAGGTATGAGTAAGTGATTGGCCACATGGATGTATGTCCACTTAGGTATGAGAAAGTGATTGGCCACATGGATGTATGTCCACCTAGGTATGAGTGAGTGATTGGCCACATGGATGTATGTCCACTTAGGTATGAGTAAGTGATTGGCCTCATGGATGTATGTCCACTTAGGTTTGAGTAAGTGATTGGCCACAGTTTGGTATGTCCACTTGGTATGAGTGACTGTTTGGCAACAGTTTGTTATGTCCACCTAGGTATGAATGAATGATTGGCAACAGTTTGGTATGTCCAACTAGGTATGAGTGAGTGATTGGCCACAGTTTGGTATGTCCACCTAGGTATGAGTAAGTGATTGGCCACATGGATGTATGTCCACTTAGGTATGAGTAAGTGATTGGCCACATGGATGTATGTCCACTTAGGTATTAGTAAGTGATTGGCCACGTGGATGTATGTACACTTAGGTATGAGTAAGTGATTGGCCACGTGGATGTATGTCCATTTAGGTATGAGTGAATGATTGGCCACAGTTTGGTATGTCCACCGAGGTACGAG